ACCAGCTGTGTATGTGTGTTCCCTTTTTTCCACAACCTTGCCAGCATCTTTTTTTTTTTTTTTTAATGATAGCCATTCTGACTGATGTGAGATGGTATCTCATTGTGGTTTTGATTTGCATTTCTCTAATGATTAGTGATGTTGAGCATTTTTTCATACACTTGTTGGCTATGTGTATGTTTTCTTTTGAAAAGTGTCTGCTCATGTCCTTGCCCATTTTTTAATGGAGTTTTTTTTTTCTTTTTAAGTTCTTTATAGAATCTGAGTATTAGACCTTTGTCAGATGCTTACTTTGCAAATATTTTCCCTCATTCTGTAGGTTTTCTGTTTACTGTTGATAGTTTATTTGGCTGTGCAGAAGCTCTTTAGTTTAATGAGGTTCCATTTGACAATTTTTGGTTTTGTTGCAATTGCTTTTGGTGTGGAAGTAGTCTTTTTTTGATAGGCTGCCCACCTTGATTTGCTGGTGATAGTATTGGGTTTAGATGTATAATGTAATGGAATAAAACACAACACCTACATATTTTTAAATTTAAAAAAAAAGCGTTGAATCTGTGTGTGTATGTGTGTATCTTTGTTTTAGGGGATTGCATGTTTTAGGGTTTTTTGAACCTTCATAATGATAGTATATATGCAAAGATTTTCTTTATTCCATCTCAGTTTGTTTTGTGCTGCTGTAACAGACTAGCACAGACTCATTTTTAAACAAAAGAAGTTTATTTGCTCATGGTTCTGGAAGCTGAGATGTCCAAGAGGACAGCACCAGCATCTGGTGAGGTCCGTCATGCTGCATCATCCCATGTTTGGAAAGGTGGAAGGGCAGTAGAGCACTTGGACAAGAAGGGGCTAAAATTGTTTTTATAATGAGCTTACTGTCTTGATAACTAACCTACGCCTGTGGTAATGATATTAATCAGTTAATGAGAGCAGAGCCCTCCTGACCTAATTCTTCCTAGACTCCACCTTTCAACTGTTACATTGGGATTAAATTTTTGACATGTGAAGTTTGGGTGACACATTCCAACAATAGCATCTCTCTAGTCTATATTTTTAGCTATTACTACTCATCTAGGACTAGGAAAATAAGTACTTCCTGTCATTTTACACAAAAACTGTAAAAATAATTTTAAGTTTAAAAAATAACTCAATTTTTATTAGAAAATCTTTCAAGAAAACTATATAGAAAATTAGTAACTCTTAATAGATATTAAGCTCTAGAAGATTAAGTATTTGTTACTCTATCTAGAATTTTAGGAAGATTCCTTATCTATGTGGTTTGTGCTATGGTGTATCTGTCCTTAAATGTTCTAAAAATAAAAATAATGAGGTTAATTTCTTATGTTTATACTTATCATTGATGAAGAGTATCATCTGAATTTAATCTTTGTAGTTTTTACCAACATATATGAAGTATATAATGTATGTACTATGAAGACATAGAAGAGTAATTTCTAAAATTACCTGTGCCACACATTGATGTGTTCATGTGACTGCCTCCACAAGATTTGATAATGGAGGGATACAAAGTGGATTTTAAAGTGATCAATCCTTTTGCTTTTTTGATTTGTGGGAAAACCTTTCAAATGTCTACTCTAAGGAAAATTCTCTAAGGAAAATTCATGTCTGAATTGTTGAAATCCATCTAGAATAGCCAACACTATTTGGAATAATAGGGCTTAGGGCATAGACATTTCTCATTTATGATTTGATCCATTGTAAGAGCAAAGGAGTAGACTATCTTTAGAGGAGTGTTTTTCAACCTACCACTCTGCAAAGAAATACATTTAATTATGATCCAGATTTGTGCGCACATGTGTGTGTAAATGTGCAAAACAACAATCTAAGAATATTTGCGTTTATGCAATGTGCTCTATTTTCTTTAGTGTATCATTTTTATATGCCAAAAAAATGTTTAGTTGTGGCCTGTAAAATAGATTTCAGAAACTGCTAGAGGGTCCCAACTACAGTTTGATAAACTGTTTAGGATTTCCCTTATTCTTGCCTTAATGATTCTCTTTGCTCAACTATACACTATGTCCTCAGTTACACAGTTTCCTATGGAAATGGTTGATGACTACCTATTTAAATTGAAATCTAAAAAGATGAGACGCTTTTAGAACACAGACACATGTGTGAACATCTGGAAAGAAAGATATTTTTCAAATTGTTTGCAGTAGTTCTGGAGGTGGAAGTCAGGATTGTTAGAAGACTCTGCATTTCCTGATTTGGCTTTTTTTTTTTCTTTTCAAACCATGACAGATAGTTTCATACTCAGCAGCATTTAAAAAGGTAGTTCTAATTTGGTTACAAACACCTTATCCAGAATTTGTATATGAATTTTTTAAAAAGATCATTTTTAGCTTGAAGAGGTTCTAAATTCTTAGATCATAGAAAATAAATAGGAAGGAATTCCTCACAAATTTAGTTTGTTTTGTGCTTTGTTCCATGAAACAATATTCAGTAAAATTCACCCAAAAAAGAATGCTAAATTTGGAGTAGCAGAAAATAAGAATTTTAGTTCCTGTATTCCTATTTGGCACTTAACATCTGAGCCTCATTTAATTTGCATAATGAATGTGTTTGGCCAGATTATCTAAGTTTATTTTCAACTTTAAAGTTTTCTGATTTTTAAGCCAAATTAAAACAGGGATTAGACTTTTTAAGTACCTACTTAGAGACTAAGACACTCTCCAGAGTATTTATTATAGGCTGTGATGTGACCAACGATGACCTACCTCAGGAAGCTGCTAGGATTCTGCCCTGGAATATTTGAAGTCTGCATGCTTGTAGCCATATGATCCTCAGATTCCCTTACAGATTTTATATGTATGGTAACACAGATTGAGTTATCAGTTGAAGAGAATTGCTTACTTCATGACTACAGGGGATATTTTTCTTGAAATTATTTTGAAATCCTTGTGATAAGCAAGAAAAGTCTGAACCTATATTAGAGGTTGAAAGTGAAAGAATAGAGAATGTGAAATGGATTATGATAAACTTCTGAAAATTATATATAGTTATAGTTGGCTAATTCTGTATTTGAGAGTTATTAAAGAATTGATATCTGGTAATGTAGGCTGATTGATTAGACAATAATTCTAAGGGAGAGTATAGTGATTAAAAACAAATAAGGGTAGATATATGTTCTTAGAAGTTAACATATCTCTAATAGCTAACAAAAAATGAACTCATAATAACTAAGTTGTGAATTCTTTAGGTAGTTGTAGAAGAAATTATCTTGAAATGGTTTGAGAAATGAATGGATGTTTTCTTTTTTAATTTATTTCATTTTGTTTTTAAGTACCTACTTAGAGACTAAGACTACTTTAAGAGAGAGGGTTTTACTCTGTCCCCCAGGCTGGAAGTGCAGTGGTGCTATCGTAGGTCACTGCAGCCTTGACCTCCTGTGCTCAAACAATCCTCCAGCCTCAGCCTCCCAAGTAGCTGAGACTACAGGTGTGCACCACCACACTCAGCTAATTTTTTCATTTTTTGTAGCGACAGAGTCTCGCTGTGTTGCCCAGGCTCATCTCAAACTCCTGTGCTCACGAGATCATCCCACTTGGTCCTCCCAAAATGCTGGTATTACAGGTGTGAGCTGCTGCACTCAACTCAATATTTTATTTTCTTAGTTTAATAGAGGTGGGCTTTAGAATTGAGAATCCAGTAGGTGTAGGTTTTTTCATTCTGTCCTACACAATGTTTTTTCTGGGAAAGTAAGTTCAGAATGTGTAACTATGACTTGGGCTCCTGAGAACTAGAATAATATTATATGTAAAAAGTGATTAATAAGGCCGGGCGCGGTGGCTCAAGCCTGTAATCCCAGCACTTTGGGACGCCGAGGTGGGTGGATCACGAGGTCAAGAAATCGAGACCATCCTGGTCAACATGGTGAAACCCCGTCTCTACTAAACATGCAAAAAATTAGCTGGGCATGTTGGCGCGTGCCTGTAATCCCAGCTACTCAGGAGGCTGAGGCAGGAGAATTGCCTGAACCCAGGAGGCGGAGGTTGCGGTGAGCCGAGATCGCGCCATTGCACTCCAGCCTGGGTAACAAGAGCGAAACTCCGTCTCAAAAAAAAAAAAAAGTGATTAATAATGTAGATTCAGGAAGAAAGTATATAAAATACCATTTCATTAGGCTTTTCTTGGCAGTTGTGTCTCATGTATCATACAGTGTGTGGATGATGGGTTAACAGTGTGCTTATGAAGACTTGAAGGCCTCCTCAGTCTCAGCTAACAGGATGTATTAGTCCATTTTGATGCTGCTGATAAAGGCATACCCAAGACTGGGCAATTTACAAAAGAAAGAGATTTAATTAGACTCATAGTTCCATGTGGCTTGGGAAGCCTCACAATTATGGAAGGCAAGGAGGAGTAAGTCATATCTTACACAGATGGCAGCAGGCAAAGAGAGCTTGTGCAGGGAAATCTCCCCTTTAATACCTTCAGATCAACAGCACAGGAAAGACCTGCCGTCACGATTTAATCATCACCCACCAGGTTCCTCCCACAACACATGGGAATTATGGGAGCTACAAGATGAGATTTGGGTGGAGACACAGAGCCAAACCCTATCACAGGAGTACATTAATAATAGCCAGGAAATAATATGAAATGCATTTCTTCAAAATGTATAATTTTATATAAAAGATGGAAATTATGGGAGCTACAAGATTAAATTTGAGTGGGGACACAGAGCCAAATCATATCACATAAGTACATTAATAGTAGCTAGGAAATATGAAATGCATTTCTTCAAAATGTATTGTTTCGTATAAAAGAGCTAGTATTTAAGAACAATTTTATTAAAAGTTAAATTGTTTTATTCACGATTTGGGGTCCCAGTGTGTAAGGATTGTCATTGCAAGTTCAACAATCATGTTTACTTATTTTTTTTTAACACTGACTTTATCAAAAACATATGTAATTAATTGGGGCTTAAAATCTTGTTAAATATACTTAAGAAAAATTAATAAATTCAATTATTTACTTTAAAGCTACAGAAGAAAGAAGATCAGCAACTGGAACCTAAAAAAAGTAGCAGCCCTAAAAAAACTGTGGAGCCCACTGTGGATCTTTTAGGACTTGGTAAGTAATAAAACATAAAAGTTATTACAAAACAATTGAAACTTTTACTTGCAGGTAATATAATGGCTTTATCTTCAGTATACCAAAACATACTTGTTAAATGAATTTGAAAATGGTATGATTAGTTTGCTAAGTTACCACAAAAAGGACATCTTTAATGAGGGAGTCAGTGTCTGTCAGCACTGTCTTCACTGAAATAGAAAGTAATAAGTTCCTTGGGGAAAAGAAGATATCAAAGTAATCTTCAAAGGCTTGGCAGATGTGACGTTTTAGTTCTTACAGTAAAGACTGGATTATTTTCTCTTCTTTCTCTCTCGAATTTTTAGTTTTGTGAGGGATTTTTTTCACTTAGCAAAATAATTCTAAGATACCTTTATTGTAAAATGTTATGGTTTAAAAAATAAAATTTGATTTTGGTTAACTGAAGCAACACATTTTACATCTAAATCTAGTGTCTAGATTCATATAACTGACTCAGTGATAATGAGAAGTGCTCATTTTCCTGTTTGTTCTCATGACTGAAAGGTAAATGTTATCTGTGTGGTAAGTAAACAGGCTTTCATTCAAAGGGTGTTTATATTGTGCTTATCTACAAATATTGTTAGCTTTTCTTTTTTTTTTTTCTTCTAAAAGAATTGGCTTGATAAAAGATTACTTTTAGTAATATCTGAGCATTGGCACAGGAATAATTAAAATTTTTTCTTTTTTTAGTTTGGAGGAAGATTGACAAGGAAAAAAGTGAAAGGCAGTTAGTTGAAAGGGAAAAGTTGAACTTCATATACTGCTTTCCAAAAAATTGATCCCAGTTGTTATTGAGTAAATTATTGTATGTTTTAAGAATTATAGCTGAATGTTTTATTCATTTCTCAGGAAGCTGGTACATCATACAAATACACTCCCTGAAGGTACAATTCTTCTATGATAGTAAAAAGTTGTATATTAGAAATAGAAAATATAACTATAATTTTGAAAACAATGCTTCAGTCCAGGGGCTCTAAATATAATTAGGTTGAATTGAAGTCCTAAATGTTTTTTATTTCCTTTACTGTAAATGAGAGAAAAGGAAAAGGAATTACTACCAATGTAAAAAAAAAAAAATCTTACTAAAACTATAGTCTTTGTCTTTACTGCAGCATTTCTTTTCCAGTCTAAGTGCCTGGCTTATTAGTTCATAAATGAGAAATATAAAATATAAACTAAGCCTGATTCTTACCTTACACACTCATTCATTAATTTAACAAATAGCTACTGTCTACTGTGTATCAAAGTACCATTGTAGACACTAGGCAGATAGATCTGAAAGAGAACAGACTATAACCCCTGCCTTCTGGGGCTTTCTTTCCATCTGGGGAGACAGTAAATAAGCAATTAACTGTATTATATATTATGTGTGGTAAGTACTACGGATGAAAGAAAACAAAAATGGATGGTTGTAAATTTTAAATAGGGTCGACAGGGAGGAACTCACAGAGGTCTCATTGGAGCAAAGATGGGAATAAGGTCTGGATATCTGGATCCGTAAGCAAGAGCATTTTGAGAAGAAAACAGCAGATGCAAAGGCTCTTCAGTAGGAGCCTGCTTCAGGTGTGCAGTGACCAGCAAGGATGATGGTGTGGCTGGAGTGGAATGATCTAGGGGAGAGTAGTAACAGGAGACAGGGAAGACAGGCATAGGGAGGGGCAGGCCAACTGTAACGGGACTTTTTTTTTACTCTGAGTGACTTGGAAACACATTGGAAGAATTTGCCAAAAAGAAATAATCTGACTTTAGTATTTAAAGAATTATTGTGGCAGTTGTGCTGAGACTAGATTAAAGTAGGGCAAGGTGGGCAGGAAAGGATTTTTAAAATGGTGACATTACAAGATGTTTAGTGTTAGAAATGAACTTGTAGAGAGGTAAATCTGATACTTTCAGGACAAGAAAAAATTGCTCTAGCAGTATTCTCGAATAGCCCAGAGTGTTCTCAGCCCAGAGTGGATGGGATCTCATCGACAAATAGTATGAGTGGCCTTTGAGATACTCCATTATTGTTGGAATAAACTGCATGGTAAATAAGCCTCAGGTTTTAATGGCTTACAACATTAATCATTTGTTTCTCTCTTTTTCTGTGGGTCACCTAGGGTAGCTCTGCTACAACTTCATTTGATACATTTTTTTACCTTCCTGATTATTGCAGGGCACTGTTTACCAGCCATATTGCATATTGTGTCTCCATTTTAAGTTCCAACAAGTGTTTCCTTATCTTTTACCACCTTGTCTCAAAGTCATTGCCACAGATTTTAGGGTTTGGTTGTGGCAGCACCCCTCTTGTATCAGTTCCTAAAACAGTCAACTCTTGCTGCCTGTGTTACATAGCAAACAACTCCAAAATCAGTAGCTTACATCAGCTAGCGTTTATTTGTATCACTCATGGGTTTGTGGGTCTGCTGGGACATCACTCTTTTGTACAGTGGGACAGCTTCAGGAAACAGTGTCTTCCGGGGAGAACCAAGGTTCATTTAGCAGGAGACGTTAGGGAATGTTTGCGAAAAAAGGTTAAGATTTTATGGGGGATTTTGCGATGACTGACAGTGGGTTTTAGATCATTTAGTCTAACAGTTACAAAAGTGGGAGAAGTGGAAGATGGGGTCAGAAAGAGGGTTGTCTTGCTGTGAGGGAGTTGTAGTAGCAGGAAAGAGGAAGTCTCTTACCCAGAGCACATTCAACTCTTCCCATCTGTTGGTTATCAGTATCCTAAACTCTTAAAAAGTATTTTCAGACTTCTGAAAAAAAAAAAAAAGCTGTGTTTCATCATAAAATTTGATGAGTTCATGAAAGTCCAGGAAACTACAGAGAATCAAAGGTATTTTTGAGCTCAAAACAAAAAGTGGTCCTAAATCTGGATTGATGATGGGTGTCCATCTTGGGCCGCAGGCTATCTGCTCAGAAGCATGCCACTATCCTCTCATGGGACCCTGCTTTTCCCCTGTAAATTGGGGAAAAAAAAAAGTGGGGATTGTGGGGTAGGTGCCTTGAAGTATGATTTATGGTCATGAAAAGATGACAGCATGTTCCTGTATGAGTGAGACTGCAACGGACATTAACTGCAAACATTTCTGGAAAATATAGAGAAAACCTGCACAGAGATAGTTCAGTTACCCAGCTACGGATCTTTGGGACTCATGGCTTTCTCTATCACTCTTAACAGTTTCAGAATAGTGTAATACTTAAGACCAGTTTTTAGACATTTGAGCTTTCCTTTAAATGAGACTTTAACAAACCTAATTTCTTTTTTGTAACCTAGTAACTCACGCAAAACCTTCTTTCTTAAGCACACCTTTCCTGATCTACTACCCATTCAAAGTTCAAACATAAAATGCTTTATATTAGTATACTTTTTAGCAGAGGTTGTCAAATTTTTTTTTTTGAAAAGGGCCAAATGGACATTATTTTTGGCTTTTCAGGCCTTATGATCTCTGTTGCAACTACTCAGCTCCCATTGTAGTGTGCATAGCTGTAAACAAACATGTAAATGAGTGAGCATGCTTGTGTTCCAATCAACTTTAAAAACAGGCATGGGCTAGGGTTTGCTGCTGACCCCTGCTTTATGTTCCCAATAGTATCTATAAGAGCCGCCTCATATTTAAAGATTAATTCATGTTTGAAATCTATAGAAATACTATTATATTTTATTCTGTAATACCATAAACGGGGTGAGATACTTGATCTGCCTGTAGTCTTAGAAATTACTAATACCATAAATGGGGTGAAATACTTGATATGCCTCTAGTCTTAGAAGTAACCAAGGGCCTGGGGCCCTTCTCGACTAAGTACCAGATTGAATAATCTCTGAGTATATGAGATTTGAATCAAACACAGATATATCCTGGCTTGTGCATGTATGTCCTATCTTAAAATAGAATTAAAACCAGCTTCTAAGATTTGTGAGAATAATGCTCTTCATGTCCCCTTGCTTGGGAAGCTAGTTTAGGACTGTGAATTATACTGTTAGGCTACTGTCTATTCTTTCTTGTTTATTACTTAGTTTTAAAGATGACAAAAATGGACAGATTGCTTACCAATTGGTTAGGACAGCTCCCTTAGACTAATGCTTCTTTTCAGTAGGGCTTATTTTTGGAGAGTTGGGGCATAAGACCGCCTCTGAGAATAAAGTCTTCAAGGGTGAGCACATGCTTTGGGTATAAGGCCTTAGAAGAAGACACATTGCTGGCCTTGAATGTGACCTTAGAGGTTTCAGTTCAACCTCTCATTACTGGTTCCTGCAGAGGTTCTGTTTTGTGACCATCTGTGTACCACATGCATACTGCAGAGCAGCCTGGTTCCTTGTCAGGAGGCGTTACCCACAGTCCTACCAGGCACAGAGTTGTGTGGGTCAGAGGTGTACTGCTGAGGATGTCTAGGGGGGACTGCATTCCTCCAGTGCTCCAGAAAGCATCTCACAAATAATCAAGTCATGATCTTGGCAGTGAAAAGTTACTTCAGGGGTGTACTCACGTGTTTCTGTATTCACTGTTTATATAAAACTGATTTGATTTTATCCATTCTAATCGTTACTTTAATATGGGGAAATTTCTATCTCAGCATTTCATAAATTTTACTTGGTTTTATTCTTATGTAATCACACTTGTGTAGGAATGAAAATGCAGTTACATGAACATATTGGTGTAAGGTAACTAGCAATGGGCAGATACTTGCAAATGGTCCTGAGTCAGTACTAGGGCAGTTGGTGAACTGGCACCAGAAACAGGTGCAGTTGGGGGAGTTAATGATACCACAGACTTTAGAAGAGAGCAGGAAAGGACAGCTTCTTGGAAACAGCTTAGAATCTTCAGAGAATGTGCTGGTGGATAGGACAAATAATAGGTGTTGAGAGGAGAAAAATTGACCTCTGAATGAGGCAACTTCAAATTACAAGTAACAGGAAGCCTAAAAATGACTTAAATATAAGAACATCTAATTATCTCACTCGAAGAGAAACCTGGAGACATGGTGGTTTGGGG